TATATATATATATATATATATATATATATATATATATCGCGTCAACGGAATTTTTCCTCTTCTTTTCTTTCTCTTCTTTCTTTTTTCCGTCCTTTTCTTTTTCTCTTCTTCTCTTTTCTTTTCTTCTCTTTTTTTTTTTTTCGCCACTCGACGATATTTCGAAACGCAGCGACGTGCGTCACGACGTGCCGTCGAAAGGTCAAGTTTAACGTGGTCATCTTTATCGAATCCTGTTCGCGATCGATATATCCGTTATCGATTCGTCCCTGTCAGGTGTCGACGAATGGAAATCGCCATTTCCATTCGTGGAAATTTCCAAACGACGGATTATATCCGAACGAAATATTCCTTTTTTATCAACCTGTTATTAATGAGAAATTTAAATCCGTTTACATTGTAAAAAAAAAAATGGTTATTAATTTTACAGCCCTGGCATTTTGCAACTGGTCGGATGTGCAGAAGGCCCGAAGGGAGATGCTTCGCGCGCACACCTTTCCCCGCGCCTTCTCCACGCGTTTCAACGAGCTGAACGGTATAATTGGCGATGAAATGGAGTTTATGGTGAACCATCTGGACTCGTTGTCGGGCACGAGCGTTCACGCGAAACCGTTGATCCTCCATTCCTGCGCCAACATCTTCATCACCTATCTTTGCTCGAAGAACTTTCATCTGGAGCACGAGGGTTTCCGAAACATGGTCGAGAATTTCGACAAGGTGTTCTTCGAGGTGAATCAGGGATACGCGGCCGACTTCCTGCCGTTCCTTATGCCGCTTCATCACAGAAACATGGCAAGAATGGCGCACTGGAGCCACGAGATCCGAAAATTCGTGATCAAGAACATCATCGCGGACAGATTGAACAGTTGGAACGACGTGGTGCCCGAGAAAGATTACGTTGATTGTCTGATCAATCACGTGAAGAGCGGGACAGAGCCCCAAATGTCGTGGAACACGGCTCTCTTCGTCATGGAGGACATCATCGGCGGGCACACGGCTATTGGAAATCTCTTGGTCAAAGTTTTAGGCTTCCTCGCCACGAGGCCCGAGATTCAGAGACTCGCCCAGGAGGAGATCGACGCTCTTGCCCTCGCCGGGAACTTCGTAGGATTGGAGAACAGAAGATCCTTGCCCTACGTCGAAGCCATCATCCTGGAAACCATCAGGATAATCGCCAGCCCCATTGTTCCTCACGTTGCTAATCAGGACAGTTCTATCGCAGGTAAGCCGGTAGTAATAATACCTCCTCTATTATATTATTCATTTTATTACATTGTTTGCTTTGATTCGTAACCAATTCAAAAAGAAAAAAGAAATTTATCGATATCGATTCATCTTCTTCCTCTTCAGGTTTCAGAATCAAGAAGGACACGTTCATCTTCCTGAACAATTACGATCTGAACATGTCCACCGATCTGTGGACCAGCCCAGAGGAATTCATACCGGACAGATTCGTGCAGAACGGAAGACTGTTGAAGCCCGACCATTTTCTGCCTTTCGGCGGTGGCCGTAGATCCTGCATGGGCTACAAACTGGTCCAATACGTGAGTTTCGCCATCTTGGCCAGCATCTTGAAGAACTTCACGATAGCGCCTGTGCAAAAGGAGGATTACACGATCCCAATTGGAAACCTGGCCCTGCCCGAGATGACCTACAAATTTCGATTCGAGCGGCGGTAGGGCGTGTAACGTTGTAAGCCCTGGAGAATAGGGGCTGACCCGCGAGGGATTTCAAGGGTTGCTTCGACGAAGCTTCGAAGAGAGAGAGAGAGAGAGAGAGAGGAGAGAGA